TAACTGTGCTGGAAGTATCGCTTGACACCATTGATAGCGGGCGTGGGATGAACTCGAGGGTATCAGAGAACCCAACACGAGCACGCGTGACTGGCCTGGCTGCGGGAGAAGCCCTGCCACTTGATGAACCCGAATCTGCAGTGACTGGCCTGGTAAGTTCTCTGGGCACTCTGAGGACTGGTTCGGATTCAACACCCTTCAGAGTCTTCTCGACCAGACCCGCATTGTGATGGTCTAAACGCCGATCAAATTCAGCCGGGCTTGTAGGAGCACTGTTGCCCCTGAGGTTACCGGACGCTGAAGGCTGGACAATGAGAGATAGGTCATGGCTTGAGAGCGCAGCAGAGCGTCTGTGTTTGTGGCCACGACCGCCCGGAGGCTTCGGGGGCAATTGGAAGTTTGGGGACGCAAAACCACTCTCGGATCTCGTTGGGCTTGTGCCAGTTACGGTGATGGAATCTCCAGAACGGATGCTTCCTCCTACAAACTCGCTCCCTCCTCTCCTGTGTCCAACTCCAGTTGGTCTTGCAGGTGATGCCGCTAGTCTCGGGGACACAGGCGGAGGGGATAGAGGCGGGCTAAGCAAGAGGGATGTATCTGGAGACAACGAAGCGCCGGGATTGAAGGTAAAGTTGGGAAGCGCGGGTGATCTTGACGGCCGATCTGCTGCTTCTGAGTTCATGTTGAAGGTCGATCGGTCTTGGATTTCGATGGCGGACAGCGGACGTCGCCCAGTTGCTCTCGAGAAGGATGACGGTGCAGAGGCCGAAGAGGGCCTTGCCGGGAAGACGAATGGTGGGTTTGGTAGTGGAGGCATCGTTCGTGGAGAGTGTGGTCCGGAGAATGATGATGTTGAGGAAGTAGAATTATCCAGCATTACTGGAAGAGAAATCGCTTGCATCGAGGGCTCGTCCAAAACCTGTGTACTTGTGGCTATCATCATACTCTCAGGTCCGACAGTGGTTGCCATGCTTTACTGAGCCGCTCTGCGGCTACAGGTTTGATCAGCAACTAAAAGAGGGACATAAAGAGGGCGCAAATGCAAAATGGTCGTCGTTGGTTGAGAATGGAGGATCGTTTGGGTGCTCGACAGAGGACGACGCGTCAGGGGGCGTTTTGCGAAGTGATGGCGGGTTTGGTAATTAATTCTGCAAGGTGGCAGATTTAGCGAGTTGGTTCTTCTTTTCGTTTTTGATATCGCGAAAGAGAATTGGAAGAATCGATGGGCGAATAAACACCTTTCGGAACAAGTCGAATATGGCGCGCTGACGATGGGAATTGGGCGAAATTGGCGTTCACGATTGCGTACGTGACAGAAGCGGTCGACCAGGTAAGACAAATGCTATTTATCGAAGATGAAAATTGAAGGTGTTGTTAAGGAGCGGACGGCACAAGACCAGAAGCAAATCTGCAAGATCTACAACTAGAATTGAACCACGAGACAGAAGTCAAGAAACGACGACGACCTCGAAGGGTTTTGGGGGGAAGAGAGTTGATGGGAAGAAGAGGGGGGTTGCGACGCGGAAGACTAAAGAGAGGATGGGATGGATGGGTGGATTTAGGATTAGAATTGGGGACAGACACACACACACACACGCACACATACACACAACAGCGAAGAAGCGACGAGTCGGGTCCAGCGGTCGGGGTGTGTTGGCGATGGGAGAAAAGGGGGGTGAGAAGACAGGGATGAAGAGGGTGTGTGGGAGGAAAACCTCAGTTGGGTTTGGACTGGCTCGGGGAGAGGGGGGGCCAGTCTGCAGAGGGGAAAAAGAGGGAGAAGTAGTAGTAGCAGGAACAACTACGACCAGGGGGCGTGCGATTGTGATTCCAACCTGGAAGTCACAGTCAGGGCCCGGACAAGCAAGGCAGGGACGACCAGGGGCTGTTCAGGTTGATGGGGCAGCAGCCGTAGCGCACTCGCATTTCATCACTCAGAGTGCCTCAAAGACAAAGTACGAATATCCGCACCGGATTTACTATGCAAAGCAAGGTATCTCTCCTATTCACGCATACGGAACGGGGCAGGCAGACAGCAAAGAGGCACCTCGCGTCGCAGGATTTGACAGAGCACACCTCACTCAGCTTTGAACCCAGCGAGACATGGACCAGTCCTTAGGAGGTGGGTTGGACTCTTGGTAAACAGAGCATATTATGTATAGGCAAGCACTACAAGGTAAGTGTTAGGTATCTGTTGTTCATGAAAGACATGAATCCAGAGAGTCGCGTCGAAGCAAAGATGTGTATGTAAGGCGGTTACAGCTGAACAAAAATTATCGAGTACTCTTTATTCACTGTTTGGGACAGTTGTTGAAACTCGTATGCGCCTACATTTGGTTTTTTGCCTACTTACTTAGTTGAGGCACAACGCGCCGTATGTATACCTTTACACACAGAACAAGACCATGCATGCTCTACAGTTCCAAATGTATCAGTAGTTCATCAGGAGTACCTAGCTGGAAGATTCATATCCCCATCAATGAAGTCCCTGGTTCCCTACTCACTTCGACGCTTCCAGATGACATTGACATCCTCCGTCTTCCGGACCTGTCTTGGTTGTGTCTGTAACCAACGTAACGTGCAGCAGTATCGCTGTGCTGCCCTGCATTCTGCATGAAGCACTGCATTCACGCACACACGTTGCCGCAACTAGACGGGCCCTGACAGGTTGGTGTTTTGCCTTGCAGCCAATTCTGCACTGAGTTGGGTGCGCCGACCAGCCTGCCTCCAGCAAACCGCTCACTCAAAGCCGCTCAGTTCCTGAGCAACCTGACCAGGCGGCCCAGGTCCAGGTCGTCGAGGAGGGCACAGACTGGATTCTCTAGCGTATCATGGAACCTGCTTCCCGTAGTTGTGCGAAGTGTGGTGAGTGGCCGTACTAGTACCGAGTAATCGTCGCTGAGGTGAGTTGACGGTGAGATGTTGGCTGCCACACCTTTTCCTCCCCTCCTCCATGCTAGCGAGCTTTAACACCCGTACCAGTTCGCACTAAGACTCGGCCGTCGTTAGGCGGCCACAGCCCAGACCCATCTTCCTCTGCTTCCTGACCTTAGCGGCGGCCCAGTAGGTTGTTGGCTTGTTTGGCTTGGTTGACTTGACGAGGTTGCCAGGCAGAAGCTGGCACGAGAGGACTAGACAGAGCGTAGTAGAGCCTAGAGGACCCGCGAAGCTGCACCTCAGCCGTCAATGGCAACGCAACGTCTTCACCGCTTCGTGTGGCCTCAAACACACGTTCGCTATTGCTTTCCTTTGTCTCTCATGCGCGTATTTGGTACCTACCTATTTCATGACCCTTCTACTGGTAAGGCAAGATCATGGACTGGGCAAAGGGAATCTGACTTTTATCGAAATGGTTTGACGATAGTTCTGAGACTGGAACAGTGGATCTGGGCCTGCAATGAGTCGGCTTGCTGTAAGTCAAAAGAGAACCTAGGAACGGAAGTGGACTGAAGGCAGGGAATAGAGGCGCTGAGAGTTCAGTGCGCTCTGTGTCGTGCATTGTGTAAGGGACGGAGACCACGGTACCCTTGGGCTGTTGTGTTCAGGTACTTGATCGCGGTACAATAGTGAATTTTCTGTTGGCCACCACCACTGAGACTGAACTTGATTTCCTGCCCTGGTATTACGGAGTATTCCTACCTCTTTCTTTCTCATCTTACCTAAGTCCACCCCAAGCACTCAAGCGCACACACGCACACCAAGCAGGCACGGCAGGTAAGACCTTCCATGCGGGGAGGTAGCGATACGTATCTTTTCACACAGGCGGAAGGAACTCTCCAGGAGCGCTTCCCCGTCGCATCCCGCAAGTGCCTCACGAAATGCACGGTCAGAGCAAGACTCAGAGCGGGAAACTTCCCTTTTCGCAAAGAGAGAAACCACCAGATGTTGACTTTCTCTGATGGATAACTTACCAGCAAAGACTGAGCCAAGTAGGGCTCGGCGAGCGATTAAGTTCAGCCGTCAGCTACGTTAGTATACCTTAGCAGCAGCGCACATCATCAGCTCAACCACAACCACGGCACCTCCGGGTTTGGGGGGATGACAAGAGAAGGTGCCGATGGGAGCAAATCCAGACCGGTGCTATGATGGACGACCGGATGGCCAGCACATGGCAAATGCAAACGAGACGAATCATCGCAACGCCGTGCCCGACTAACAGCACCAGAGTAGCGATGGCAGACAACCGTCTCTGCAGGTACAGCAACGGCGTTGGCTCCATTCGACCACGCCCCCTCCATCTCCATCGCTGCCATCCGCCCCTTGCGGCAATTCTGCGAGAAAGCCACCACAAGACACAACTAAAGCCTCGAGAGAAGAGACGGGACGATGAGGCACCAGAAAGTTAGGCCAAGTCACTTCAAGTCATGTCATATCATGTTTTGCTCGACACCTACCACTTCCCAAGGTTCATACACCCAGCTCCCGCCCAAGCACCACCTCATCGGGGATTACACTTTCGCTTCGTCTTCTAACCTAGATTCAGTCCCGTATACTGAACACCTTCTTTGCTTCTTTTCCTCGACCCGAGCGACCCGGCCTGGTTTCAACCCCAATCAAAGACATCGGCGGCCGTACCTATGTACGAATATTGCGCGGGGGGCTTCAACTCGATTCGAATCGACAGCCACGCCGCATCTCGAAAATGGGCCGACGCCTCGGGTTCTACCTCGTCCACGGCCAACGCCAGAGCCAAAGCGGTCAAGCGATGTGTGTGGGCTCAGTGCAGCGTCCCAAAATGGACTTCTTCGATGGTAACACGGGCGCTGAGGCGGCACTGGAGCCGAATTTCTCCTCCACGTCCAGGTTCAACGGCGGCCTCTGACTGGCTTACGGTCCTGAGAACGAGAGATGGCCAGGGGTGTAAAACATATGTGCCAAGGTCCCTTCGTCACTCTTTATCCACTCTTTATTGCTGGGCTTCAGAAACGCCCGCGTACCCCCAGGCCCAGAGGAGACGATGGCTCCCCCTCCAAGCCTCAAAGACCCCTCCCATCTCCATTTTATTTCAATCGGCCAGATGACCGATAGCACCTGGCAGATCTGCTTGCTTTTTCCTTAGTCTGGAAAGGGAAATCTCTGGATCCACTGGAACCACAGCTACGAATGTCTACGAATACCTCACTATTGTGAATAGGGTACGGAGGACAAATCCACGCGAATTGGAGAGGCGTTCCGAGGGAGACGAATGCCATTGTCAATAGTTGCCTCTTCAGTTGTTCACTTTTCGCATATCGGGATGGTATGCGGACATTCGACTGAATGCCGTCCGTCTTTTCAGCAATTGGCGCACAGCATCTGTCAAATCGTCGTACTGGGACAGCAATGGCGACATGATGATTGAGGAAACATTTCATGTCCTATCATTGGCAACCACCACACACTTTCCGGATGGGATGGGATGAGATGGGATCATTACCTTATTTCTCCCATGTTCCCGTATTTGACGCCCCCGTTTCCTCAACCCACTTGGCCGCCTAGGTAGTAGTGGGGGGGCATGTCACAGTCGGAGCTGATGGAGCATCAAAGGCAACACAACCATACAACCCCACACAGGGCTATGTCTTCTTCTGTCACTGGCAGGCATGGCAGGCCAGTTCGTATGCACGGAGCGCTCGTTTACGTTCACAACGGCAACAATCGATTCCAGGGCTTTGTGCGGGTAGTGCGCGTCGAGCCATCTTTGCACAGCTTCGGCGGCGCCTTCAACGTTTGAGGAAGCCACAAACTATGATAAACCGCCCGAGGGATGGTTTATCTGAGGCTTGCAATTGCTTACAGCGGAACAAAGAGAGTATCACGCGGCTCAACTCTAAAGTCTGTTTTCATTTTCGTTGCTACGGTCGGGAGCCTCATCTTGACTCAGTCGCAAACTCGGGCGTCGGAGCCGGACCAGGAGCTCTCTTGATCGAACGACTGGGCCCGCCGAGTTTCTTCCAAGCCTGGTCTTTCCCTCGCTCTGATCAACGTCCGCCAGCCCGTTGAAAAATTAACAAGTTCTTCGTGCGACGGCGCCGTCACGGTTCAACCCATGGCATCAAAGTATGACAAAGAGGCGAAGCTATCCCCAAACGACTAGCTTTGCTTAGTGGCCTGGCCATCAACTCTTTACCCTTCAAACGTTTCCGAGTCGCCCATCGCGACGAGCATCAACAAACAGGCGGCTTCTGCCCGTTGCTGGCCTACCAAGGCCCGATGCTTTTCCCAAGCCGCCCTCATGCGGCTGCTGCTCACTCACCCTGAGAGTTGCAGATACACCTGCAGAAGCAACAGATGATAACCTTCGCGCCTCTTGCATCGCTCCAACCAATCTGGCCTGTCAATCGCCATGTTGCATTCGAACCCACTACGCGAATTCAAGTTGCATAGTGCACAGACGGACCTGCATGACGCTACGCACCAATCGAACACAGAATGAGGCACTTCGGTTTGATATCGACGAGAGGGATTTTGACAATGGTTCTTCGTTCGATACTAAATACAGGGCGGTGAGGAATAACGCATCAGTTGCATCTCTGCTGTGTATCCGTACGGATATCTATTGCCACCATGTTGAAACCCTGGGTCGATGACATGCCGAGACTGATGGTCGTATTCGATCCTGCCACGGGCAGAATCCTCCATAAGCAAATCAGGAACAGTTCTTCCTTTCAAACACTCATCTCCCAGCAGGGAACAAAAATCATCCTCGTGATGGTGCTTTGCCTCCTTGGCTGACAGCCATCTCCACCCCGACTGGGATGTTCAGTCCCCATCAATTCCCATTTCGTACTCTTCCCTTGTCAAATGTTTCTTTCCCCCGAACTCCCACCAATTTTTTTGCAAGCGCGGCTCCGGCCCAAACCATACTGACTTGCATCATTTCATATCCGATCCGATCTGCCAACTGTTCTAAGAATACCTCACCCAACTGTCCCCTACGCTTCTGCCAGCTGGTGGCCCTCTGTCGACCCTTTCAACGTTTGCTGGCGGCAATTCTGAACAAGCCGGGTCCGGTTGAATTGCGGGTGACCCAAACTAATCTCGCCTGCAAGATTGACCAGCAGCTGCTTTCAGCATGACCCCACGCCCTCGGTAATAAAATGAAGTGGTGGCCAAGTCATCACAAATTTTAGGTGCCGCCGTTGTTCAAATTTTTTATGCCAGCTGTCTTCACCTAATTCCCCGTCAATATTTGCTCCGGTATCCCTGCGCCGACCAGTAAAGACATCATCTTTAAGGATCACTAGAGGCTCTAAACATCGGGAACCTAGGGTTTAATATCTGGGATATCCAAGTTTGACGTGACAAGGCACGCGTTCGATTAATTCGGGCGGCAGGGATGCCGACTCCAGAATCTGATAGTCTTGGCCAAGTTGGCAGCTGGGGAAAGGAGGAATGTCTTTTCAGTGTCATTTCGGCAGCCTCGTGCGCCGCCACATCGTCGGACATGAGCTTGCCTGTCTAGAGGCGGTACATCTCAACCGCAATTTGATTGGTTTGTTGTTGTTCCCTTGACAAGAACCAAATCTCAACGCCATTCATCTCTGCCGACACTACACACCAGTCCTTCATGCGAGCTCCCGGCCGAAGTTCGTTTTCCTTGAGGCACCAATCGATATGATGTCTCAAAGCCAGGCCCAGCCATGAGCCACAGCCGTTAGACGGCGGCGCAAAGAGAATAACACAAGAAAAAAAAAAGGACTCAGGCTTCGGACGTCATTTCAAACGGCGGATACATCGGGTTATTGATGACGAGACTCGTTTGGAAGGCTTCTCGCAAGCGCAACAACGTAGCGAGTCAGCTTTAGGCAATAGATCCAAAGTATATCGCGAAACCAGTTGAGCATCGTCATCTAAGTCATGGAGATCGTACTCCTTGTCGGTTTCTTTCTTGATTTCCCACTACTCCCAACCTCGAGGGTCGTATCAATGTTGCTTCTGTCACGAAGCGGCGCCATTATCATGCACATCTGGCTTCTGAGCGGAGCAAGGACCCTGAGAAGCATCTTGGCACCCTTTCCTCAGCCACATGCACGGTAGCTTATTTTCTGGGTACTCGCACCGCCACAAGTGACAGCGTGCATCTTAACTGGTTGAACGGCAGAGCCTTGCGCCCCGCCCGCCGCATTCCCTCGCTTTGCAAGAAATTTTCTGTTCGGCGTGAGGGACCTTGAATGCCGCCCGCTGCACATTGAAATCTCGACTACGCAAATTAACGTTCCTCAGCCTTTGAAGTCTGCAATTCTTCAACACCTGTCATCATGTCTGCTGCGGAGCCCCAAGCTGCTACTGCCGCTGTCGACAAGCCGCTTGGCATGCGAAAGAATGGTACTTTCATCTGCCCCATTCTTGGGCTCATCCGACAGCTTGAAGCTAACTTTTTCTCCCTTTAGGCAAGCAATGGCACGAGACGAAGAAGGCATTTAGGCCGACGTCAGGCCTGACTTCCTACGAGAAGCGCGCCAAGGAGCGCGTCGCAATGGCGGCGATGAAGGCCAAGGAGAAGGAGATGAAAGACGAGAAGGAGGCAGAGCGCAAGGTATGATGATGCTTCCCTATGCTTGTTCTCCTCTCTCGGGCTACTCGGCTAACAACAATTACAGCAAAAAGTCCAGGCTATCAAGGACAGAAGAGCCGCCAAGGAAGAGAAGGAGCGATACGAGAAGATGGCCGAGAAGATGCACAAGAAGCGTGTAGAAAGACTCAAGAGAAAGGAGAAGCGAAACAAGCTCATCAATTCATGAGCTTGACTGCACACGGGCAGAGTTGCTATTGGAACGGGCACTACGATCGAATCTCGGCGCCGACAAAAGTCAGGAGTAGCGCCGGTTCCCCCGTGACAAATTCCGAAACAGACTCCGGTGGTGGAGGGAAAGAGTCGGGCCTAACGCGCCCATATTTTGCACAGCTCAGTCGACAAACGACTCGACACACACGGGGCTCATGCGAGGCCGAACGCTATATCGTCAAGCGATACCCCCGTGGAGATACCAAGGCTACAACAAGGAGCAAACCCACAGAGCGGGCAACAGGCGACAGGGAGGCGGATCCGGAGCCGGCGGGACGGAACAGAGGAGGGATGGAACTGCTGATCCCATCTGCGATGATCTACGATGTGTACTACGAAGAAAGCCCAATGAGGCTACTCATCCGAGCTTTTTCGCTCGGTGAAATCGGATCAAAGGGCCAGATGGCGGCAATGGAAGCCCAGCCAAACGTGGGCCGCGATTCATAGTTACATAGAAACAATAAGCGTATGACTTGACCCTCATTTTTGGGAAGGGGGGTTCTGGACCAGCAGTTTGCAAGTCCACCAAGGAAAGTGCCGGTGGTTTCGTTCAGACGACGTTTCATGACAACGGGGAAGGACCCCGAGAGGCGCATGTGAAAGTGCGTCATTGGCCCATACATAGAGAGGTATGCAGAAAGGCAGCAACAAACGACCAGCTTTCACTGGGGATTCTGGGAATCTCCGTGCACACTCCACCTCCACCTTTTTTCCCGATCTTCCACACTGCGACCTCCCTTCTGCAAGGAAACAGCCACACACACAAACCCAGCGCATCGCTTTTGCCCCCCAAAAGCCCAAAGCATTGACCGTTCCAGGCATAGGTCAAAAAAGTCTAAACTACGGATAGGCCGTCCCAACCAAAGAAATCGTCTGGCTCGGGGAGGGTCTTTTTTTTCAGCGCTCTTTCAGCGGGCGGCACTGGGCAACAAGCATAGGTACTCGCTGGCGTGTGCGGCTTTGCTTGAGCGCGGCGGAGCCGCAGCTGGAGCGCCTCTCTCTATCGTCCAGTTTCTTTGAAAGGGGGTGGTGGGAAAAGGACGAAAAAGCACAGGGTGAAACCATGTCTGCCAACGGCGACAGTGCTCACGGCTTTGAGCTGCCGTCGGCATCGGCCTCGACGTTGATGACGGCAGCCGCTATTGCCAACTTTTCCCAAAACCACGGTCAACAACAGCACCTATCCGTACACCACAGCCACAGCAGAAGCAAGAGCAAGAGCAGAAACAACGATAAGATAGCTTCGGTCCCGATCTCGGCGCCCGTCACTGCTGCTGCTGCTGCTGCTGCTGCCCCTCCTACCACTGCTGCCGCAACCTCGACGGCCACCGCCGCCGCTGCCGCCCTACTCCCCGCGCGACGACCGCGGCACCAGATCACGCGCTCCATCACCGAGTTCTCGCCGCCGCTGAGGATGCATCGGCACCGGCACAGTCACCACCACCACCCGACGCAGCACGCGCTGCACCTAAACGCGCAGAGCCGGAAAGATAGGGACAGGCTTCTGCTCTTGGATGAGAGAGCGCCCGGCGCTGCTGGTGCTGGTGGATTGGGTGGGCGAAGCTCGTTCGACATGACGAGGTCGGA